TTAATAAAGCTTAATTACATTAAACATTAATTTTATTATTATTTATAATTAAAAAAAACAATTCAAAAAATTGTATTATGGTTAGTTTCCTAATCTTATTCCAACTCATAAATCATAACCTTACTTTTTTTCTAAACTTGAAAGATATATTGTAATTTATTTTACATATTCATTTTCTATCAACAATTAACATTTGTTCAAAGCTAATAACATTTAATTCCAATTCCTTATAAATCACAATTTATTTGATATATTTCATATTTCAAAAAAATATTATGAGAATCAAATGTCTGATTCAGTTTTTTTCTCCTAATTATATCACTTATATATGTATATATGTATGTTAAGAGTTAAATAATTTTTCAACATGTTAATTAATGTTATCAATTAGTTTTTATCAAATACGATTAGTTTATTCGTTAGTTTATCAATCAAAATATAACTTATATACCAACAATTAGTTTTTCACCTAACACATAATATAATATATTAATCATCAATTAGTTTCTCAAATATAAATCATATATTGCGTATCTTAAATTCGCGATTCTATGTACTTCCAATATTTTAATGTCATTTTTTAATCTTGAGTTGGATGGTGAAAACAATATTTTGTTAGATCAAAATAAAGAAATAGCATGTATTTACCTAAATACATGCATTATTGTTTAATGGTGTTTTGATATTTTTATTCATGTGTAGATCAACAAAATCAAATTTGAATACATTTTAAAATGAGAACTTGAGCCACTATCAAAAATAAAAACTTTCTTAATTTGTATTTGTTGTTAAATGTTATAACAGGAGAGGATATACGTCTTTATTTAAAGAATAACAATAAATGATAGTTGAAATACCATATATTTAACCTAAAAATAAATACATAAGACGTGGCACAATGGAGTTTCAACATATTAAATGTATTTTTTCCGTTAAAATTACTGATTTTAGATATGTTGTACAAATCATAAAGCTTATGGTACAAGCAAGGAAAGCAATGGGTCAAAAAATAGGGTTTTGGCGCCCTTAGTTGCGAGCTAGGTCACATTGCACGACCATCGCCGTCCAGCGAAGATGTTTCACGGTTTCAGGCGGGCATGGGCACATGAGTGGTAGCACCGCTTAGCCTGTGCACTCAAATACCAAGGTGGGCTCCCTGGGTTCATGGTGCAAGTCACATGGAATGGTTTTTGGTCTTGTAGAATCCTTGAATTTGGAAGGGTTTTTTTCACTAGGATTACTTCTCTAGTTTATTAGGTTTCCAAATTCAGTAACTTCGAAGGAAAGTTTGTTTTAAGCGAATTTGTTGATCCAAATATCAAGTAAATACGTTGTAATCATTCTCATCAGTAATATACCGCACTCTCTCCTTGTTGACATACACTTTTACTCCCGATAATGGAACTGCCTTAAAATCTCGTTGTTTCAATTTACATATCACTTTGATACTCGATCGTATATATGATCACTATTGTTTTATACGCATTTGTGGATTTATATTTTAGACTACAATATACAACACTTATATCCTGTTTGTCTGTATTTATTGTATCAAGTAAGTTTACCTTATTATTTATTGATATTATTTGAGACCCTAAAATCACTTTACCATTATTGATATTGAAAGTGTGATCACTCCTTACTTTTTGGGAAACAAAATATTTGTTACTTTCATATTTTCTAACAAATATTTTTGTTTTGATAGATGGGAAAAGGACGAGAACAACTTTTTTTTTTTAATTATAAAAATCAAATATCTTTTTTTTTTATATTATAAAAATCCAAATAAATGAATGTTTTACGGATCCACCCACGTTTCTTATGCACCCAATTAGGTGTGGATTTTAAACAAATATTAAACCAAACAATTGCACGTGATCATACATCTCATATATATATATATATATATATATATATATAGTATATTTCTTTTACAATCTTGTGCATTTGTACAACCTTTGCAACCCAATTAATTAATATATTTATAGAAATGATTGGAGTTCATTTATTATGATTTGAATATTTATGGAATATGAATAGAGTTTATTAATTATGATTAATACTTTATATTAGAAAACAATTAATTGATTAAAAATTGAATGGTTGAGATGAGGGTTGTATAGGGTGTAGGAATGACAAAGGGTGTAGAATAACATCCCTCTATAGGGTTGGGTTCATGTGAGACCAAGGGTTTTTCGTGAGACCCGTGAGACCAATTTATATTCATTGATCAACTTTATAAGCTAACGATCTAATGGTCTAAAATTGCACGGTGGCAATTTTGTAATTATTGAGAAATCTTGTGGCAATTTTATGATTATGAATATTGAGATTGTAGATCTAATCCAAAAAATTGGTCTTACAGGTCTCACAAAAAAACTTTGGTCTCATATAATCCCAAGTCTCTCTCTCTCTCTCTCTCTATATATATATATATAGAGAGAGAGAGAGGGGGGGGGGGGGGTGGAGGTTCAAACAAAAATACCTCCATTTTACGAAAATGCAAGAACACCTTTATCATATGTGATACGCGTGAGGGGACCCTGTGATGTGCAGACGACGTGTTTTACGACTTAGACCATGCCAAAGGTTGTTTGCGTCTATGATTTAGCATCACATGTGATGGTTTTGATGGATTATAGCATCATATCAATAACAATTTTATCACATGTGATAATATTTGTAAGGGGGCTTAGTGGTGTAAGAGCGATTTGGTCCGCAAACAAGATCACATCGAAAATCATCCGCGTCTTTGATTTAGTATCACATGTGTATCATATGTGATTGTCTATAGCATGGGCGGACCTACCTAAATATTATTTCTCTGTCGGAGGGTAAAAAATTTAGGTTTGTGAACAGTGCTACCGTATCGTTTTAGAATGTGCTACCGTATTTTTCTGAAATCCAAATAGTGCAACTAAAAAATTTAGGTTTGTGAACGGTGCTACCGTATTGTTTTAGAAGGTGCTACCGTATTTTCCTCAATTATATAAAAACCATACATTTTTTAATTATTTTTGGGTATATATTGACCATTTTCAAAAGATGAAGACGCGTCGGGTACAAGTTTAGTAGTTGTTTATCAGTTCTATAAAAACCATATTTTTTGTAATTATTTTTAGATGTATATTAATATGTTTTTTTTTCATTAAAAACTATGATTTAAAATATTATTTCACATATGTTTGTGTTTACCTTATGAAAAAATTACATATAAACTTATTTTTGTTTCACTTGGTGAAACGAAAATTTTATATAAAAAAATATTCAAGTGGTGAAACGAATACATGTGAAACTATCATATTATGAAGCAAGTATATGTGAAACGTTATCTTAAACCCTAACATTTAATAAGAAAACCATGTCAAAAATCGGTTCTCACATGTTTATAATACTTTTATGGTTCTCATTTCCCCCCTATATATATATATATATATATATA